CATATGAGCGTTACGAAGAGGAGAGGCCATGACTGAGAAATTATGGAAGCCATAGAAAATATTTAATAAAATTGGATTTCCGAAATGCTGATATTTTTCATGCGTCGAAAGTATGAATTTATAGAGGAGAATAAAACTTTTTCTGCATATGAATTCTCGAACATTTATTGTTAGTCCCGCCTAAACAAATGCAATGTCCAATGCCGGCACTAACATTGTAACATTGTTCTAATTAGAGTCTTAATCTTGATATTTTATGTTTGCTATCCAAAGGAACTGCCAAATAATTTGGGTTGTTTTAAGGTTCTTTTATTCGTTTATTATAACGCAAATAAATTTTGGACATGTTTTCTGTGCCAGCTTGCATTTGATTTAATCTGGCCAGAGACCGGAAAGAAAGAAAGAATTAAAAACCAAAAACATAACATAACATAACTAGTTCTGCCTTGAAAATTGTTTGGTGAAATCCCTCAAGCGTATGTAATCCTTGACAAGTAATAAATTAGATGGATTAATTAAAACTATAGTTCCCACGATAAGTATAATTTAGTTAGAAATATATTAACTCGAAATCAAGTACTAATGTAACTAAATCAATGTATGATAAGTTTATTTTTATATTAACTATTCTAACTATTACCTAAATACATGCAAAAAATGTTTCAAGAAAACTTTATGTGAGAAAAGCGTATTAGAAATCTGACTCCACCAAAAGTAAGATTTTTCCTTAAAAAAGAAAAAACAGATTTTATAGTTATTCTCCACGAAAATTTGTAATTTTCAAAAAGTTTCAATCATGTTTTCCAAAATAACACTAATTAGCCAACAACAATGCTACACACAGAGGGATAAAAAAAGGGTTTGAATCCAAATACCACGTGTTAACAGTTGATTGGACAGATCAAAAAAAGAAAAAAAGAAAACGGGTGCTGACATCAATCCCGGGGTTTAAACCCGGGAGGAGCAGAATTATTCAATTAGCCAAACATACCATAATCCTTTTTCCAACTCGTTTAAAGAAATAGCTAATGTAAAATTTGTAAATGAAAAACGGCAGCGGATCTGCTCCTTCTATGCCGTTAAACACGCGGAAACATGTAATAATCCAATGTTACGATTTGTACGTTCCAGTCACCGAAAGTTCATTAGCCACATGATTAGCAGCACTATTTTAAGGTTCAAAGAGCATTTCAGGTAATTTCTGTTCTTCAGTGGGGAATTTTGTTTTCTTATTCTTTTTCCATTGTTGGGTTTCCGAATATTAAAAATCCCTGTTTTCAAATGAGCCATGAATAACAATATCTCCATCTTTTAGTGGTGAGTTTTTACGTCATTAGAAAAACATTATTATCATTTTATTTATGAATCTTGATTTGATTTTATCTCGGCTTGTATTGTATATTAGCGGGAAGAACCAATGGCATATAAGGTGGATAATGAGTATGATTACTTGTTCAAGATTGTTTTAATTGGGGATTCCGGTGTAGGAAAATCTAATATTCTTTCCAGATTTACGCGTAATGAGTTCTGTTTGGAGTCGAAATCCACCATTGGGGTCGAATTTGCAACAAGGACTCTGCAGGTTGGTTTTTATTTAAATGATGTGTCTATTATTAATTTTCCTGGTTTTGCCTGATCTAACATGAAATTAACCATGTCCACCAAGGCCATCTTTCAACGAATAAAATGTCCTTCAAATTATTGAACCAAAATCCTTTTATTTGAGCTATTTGTAATAATTATCTCAATTCTATTTGGACCTGATGCACCATAAAAGCCTAAAGGTTTCCACATTTATCTGAAAGTACTTTGGTGCAGGTGGAAGGCAAGACAGTGAAGGCACAGATATGGGACACAGCCGGTCAAGAAAGATACCGTGCAATCACTAGCGCATACTACAGAGGCGCTGTCGGGGCACTCGTGGTGTACGACATAACCAAGAGGCAAACCTTTGAGAATGTCCAACGTTGGCTACGTGAATTGAGGGATCATGCCGACTCCAACATAGTCATAATGATGGCCGGCAACAAATCCGACCTCAATCACCTCAGAGCCATCAACGAGCAAGATGCTCAACTCTTCGCTGAGAAAGAAGGGCTATCATTCCTCGAGACATCGGCACTTGAAGCGCATAACGTGGAGAAAGCGTTCCATACAATTTTGTTGGACATTTATCAGATTATAAGCAGAAAGGCCTTGTTGGCTCAGGAGGCTGCTGCTAATATTCCTGGTCAGGGCACTGCCATTAAGATTGCAGATTACTCAGGCAACTCGAACAGGAGACAGTGTTGTTCTACTTGAATATAATACGCAAATGTTGCTTATTTGTTCAGAAAGTTGCTGAATGAGGAGCTAAATCAATTTTTCGAACAGCGACCAATGCTGAATCGAACTGTAAATCGTCATATAATTATTAAACGAAAAGATATATATCTTCCAATTTTATCTATTTCTTCGAAGTCAAATCAACGTAAACTTGCCATCCAGCTAAAAGTGTAATAAAAGTAAACTTATCCCATTTGGAGAGATTGCAGCTCGTGGTCGTCTCTATACTAGCTCTTTGAAGAAAATTATTATCATGAGTTTAGTTCAAAAAGTCCACATCTTCTTCGCAATCTCTATAAATGTATTCAAAAGCATTCCCTCACATCATCTTTGGATAGAATGTAGTAATGCAGCTTTGACATCACACATTCTCCATATTCAATCTCATAATGTTAAAATTATTTTCAATTAATTGTTAGACTACATTTTTGTGTACAAATTAGGAGAAGTTGACTCTTATTTTATGTATATGTTGATTATTTTCATTGTACGCAGTTCAGAACAACGTAATAACAGATCATTAGACAATACTCCTAAGGATAATCGATCAATTATGAATACAAAGAGATTGTGCCAAAAAAATTGTAATATAAATAGTTTTTATTGAAGCCGGTGGTAATTTAAAATTAAAATTGATAAGTTGCATGAACTGTGTGCTAAGCGACGTCATATAGCACTTTTGGTCCTATAGACGCCAACAGTAAACCGAGAAAAACATCGTACCGCTGCTATCAAGTATCATGACAATGCAACGACGGAGCAACACCCAAAACGGGCACAGGAAAAAATCCATCAAATTTCGCTTCAAACCCGTAATTTTTTGTTCCAGTATTACGGAATTTATAGATAAACAAAGAGGGGGATTGTGAAACACAGACGGAAGGGAGAGTTATGGCGGTGGTTGAAGGAGGGGGATTGAATACTGCAGCGGGGCATGGCGCGTTGGCGGTGGAGCCGCCGAAGCAGAAACACAAGCTGCAGATCGGGTCTGTATCACAGCTTCTTTCCGGTTGATTAGCCGGCGCCTTCAGCAGGACTTGTACGGCTCCTCTCGCCCGCCTCACCATTCTATTTCGGGTATATCTCCTCTCTCTCTCTCTCTCTCTCTCTC